TGCTCTGTGACTAATTGTGAGGATATATAGGCCTAATGATCGTTTCAGAGATGCCCCTACTTAATGTCCACACTTGAATTATTCACAGAATAAATACGTGCAGTTGATGACGATGTGCTGAGTATGGAGGAGGCGAAATGGGTGAAGCCACCGCCGTGTCTCTGTGCGCTCTGTGCGTCTTGATGCAGGCATCTTTACTAAAACTAAAAACCACACTTGATGATAAATGCACGATATTGAAAGATATTAATGAAAACTGGTGGCTCTATGGTTTTTGTGTTAGTCTAAATTTTAACTGTAATCAGTGATTACATTAGTGTACAAGTCCGGTCCTCCGAGGTCCGTCCGGGATAATGAAGGCGATACAGCGCTGATGCAATATGTATGGGGCAGACATATATTTTTTGTTTTTATTTGTTTATATATTGTCATAATGAAAGTTACTTATGGGAAACGGCTCACTACATGCGCGATTATAGCCTAAATAAAATCGTCGGTTTGAATGATTATGATGACGTGGATCTGTCAGTAAAGTTTGATATTTAGTGAACTAAAATGTGGAAGAGGCATCAGTATACCTTCTGCAGGCTTCAATTCACCACTTCACCGTCTGTGTCACCAATTTACCATGCCTCCAAAATGTATGTACGCCTGGGTCAGAGTTTGCTTACCGGTGTGCACATTTTACCGTCAGGTTTGTTTTTATAGATCACAAACTTTGCGTGGGAAAAGGCGTACGCCAGTTTCCGACCCCATTTTGTGCGTACGCTATGGTTATAAATGAGACCCTAACTCCTTATACTGCTATAGGCTCAGACTGCCGGGGAACCTGGTCCCTTAAGCTCCTGTCTCTCTCTCCTATCTGCTACAGCTATTAATACCAGCCTTACATCTGTTATCATTATTATAAATATTAAAGTGAATCTTAGAGCTGCTCAACTTCAACCTCTATGATTAACAAAATCAGTCCTCCCTGTTTCATAATCATTGCATTTACTAATGTAGATATTAGACGGATCAGTCTATTTTCATACCTAGCTGTTACTGCTAATAGTTCACATACTTTTACCACTTTTACTGACTCTGTAGCTTTAAGTTCCAAGATTTCATTTTGATCTTTCGCTGTTCTACTGACGTTTAGAGCAGTGGCTCTCAACTGTTCTACTCTCAGGACCCACTACCAACACCCTTGTGAAAATTGTGACCCAAATTTCAGATACCCATCAGACCGAGTTAATTAAGAATTTTACAATTTTGACCTTTAGACCTGACAAAAAAAAAAGAAATGGAACAAAACTAACAGGTTTAAAAAGTGCTGCATAGGCTTTTTGACTGTTTTTTTCTTATCAAGGCACACATTCCACGACCTACTTTTGGGTCCCGACCCACCAGTTGAGAACCACTGGTTTAGAGCATATTCCAAAATCTGTCTGTGAACTACTCTAAGGATGCTCATGTTTGCTAACATGGGTTGGCGATGTTCAATTCAAAGAAAACCAAAAAGGCGAGAGTGAAAAAGATATAACTAACCTTAACTGCTTCTAAGGGTGCTTTTTGTATTTTTTTTAAAACATTTAGGCAACCATCTTATTGGCAACATGTATTAAAGCTTTACTTATGCAGCTCCATTTTGAGAAGAATCATCTTCATGTAATTTATTTTTAAAGTGATTTTTCATCAGATCCTTTTGCCTCCTGGAATAACCAGAACATGCAGCAGCGTGTCACCTCATGTTGCCTTATTAAAGCTGCAGCGGACGTATGACCTGATGTGTACTGTGATGTGTGAACGCATGACGGAACAGTAAGAGGCTGACGGGAAAGATTTCAAATATTCTCCAGGCTTACCAAATACAGGCTGGGGCAAACATTTCCCAACGTCACATCCTATATCCAACAAAACAAAAAAAAACATCACCCCAAGGAGAGCTGTGAAATCAGCAACATTTACTCTGGTCAAAACATGTGGTGCACTAAACGTCTCTGACTCAAAACATTGTGTCAGTCTGCCAGAGTCTCCTCTGTGTTGTTGGTTGGATGTGCTGTCAAGCGGGTTCAGTCCCGCAGCATCGGAAACATCCGACTCACTCATTAGTTGTGTGCTGTAAACTCACAACGTGAACAGACAAGGAACACACAAACACACAAACACACTCTTACCCTGCGCCCTAATGCATGAACACAGAGTGAGTGAGGAGATATGAAATAAAGGATTGACAGCTGACACCTCCAAACAAAGCACTTACTGTACATCAATGCAGGAAGATAAGAGAATAAAGCTCCCTCTCTCTTGTTCTCTCTTTTTCTCTCTCACTCACACTCACACTCACACACACTTACACACACACTCACACACACTTACACACACACACACACACACACACACACACTTACACACACACACACACACACACACACACACACACACACACACTAGCGTAAACCACAATAGACACAAAACATTGCTACAATTTTCACTACAACAGAGCAAATCACAGTTGTTTATTTCTCATTCAGATTGTTTCAGGATGCAAGTTTGCATACACACAGACACTGCTGCTCATAAAATCATGTGAAGATGACAAGACTAATACACACATACACACCACACAAAAACACACATATACAAACACTTTTTGAACCCTGCTTCCCGTGCGTCACATGGTCATTTGTAATTACCTTTTCCAGCTGCCTGGAGTAAAAACTGTACATGATAATGTGGTCCAATGAGACCTGAACAAATGAGAGCACACACACACACACACACACACACACACACACACACACACACACACACACACACACACACACACACACACACACACACACACACAGAGTCATACACACTATAAGAAAAATGCATCCTTCGGTGTACACTTGTGACCATTCAAATACAGATAAAGCTTTGGTTGAATTAACATACATAATTGGTATTCATTAAAAGGCCGTTGCATGAGCACATACTTATCAAACAGGGTCTGTTAGAATACCAACACTGGAGTATTTACAGCAGTGGAATAAACCCTGTGACATCCTCACATATCAAACAGAACTATCCATAAACCTCACCAGGTATTTGTATTAATTCCACACACAGAGAGATCACTTAATGTGAGTGCTAAACTATCACATGACAGTTTTGAGATTTTTTAAAATAACAACCCTGCTGAGCTTGAGGTGATGCTAATCAGAGTGAACAGACCATATCAACACAGCGACCGTTTCCCGTGACGTCAGGCAACCTCAAATGTTGTTACCATGTTGTTGTTGCTCTCTTTCTGCATCTCCCTCTGTCTCCTCTGAACCCCGACGCGGTTTCAGCAGGCGGCTGTGCTGCTCGAGGTTTCTGTCTCGAAAAGGCCATTTTTATTTTTACTGTAACTTTGCATGTTGCTTAGTGCTGATGGTGGATTCATGTTGGGTGTTTATAAATATGACAGAGAATAATAATAATAATAGACTTTATTTGGCATGGACATCACAGATACATTGGACGAACCAGATGCATTGTTTAAGTTTTTTAGCAAGCATGCTAGTTCTCAACACCCGCTCCTTTTTGTAAACATTTGTAATGAATTGGCGCTACACAATTAAAACAATTTGGATTTGGATATACTTTATTAATCCCAGAGGGGGAATTCTGGTTTACACTCTGATATTTAGAGACATGCTTCTCGCACACAATCACACACACACATGCACAAACAGGACCTGTGGACATAGGTGAAGGGATGTCAGAGTGAGGCTGCTACGCAGGGAGAGCACCAGAGCAGTTGGGGGTTTGGTGCCTTGCTCAAGGGCACCTCAGCAGTGCTACCAGACCAACTTCCATATTATGGGACTTGAACCGGTGACCCTCCTGCTCCCAATCCAAGTCCCTACAGACTGAGCTACTGCCTCCCCAAATTGATTGATGAATGAATAACGTTCTTATTACTCGACAGAGTTCCTGGGGAATGTTATCTTAAAAAGTGAGAGCATTATTCGCTGCTATGCCGTACGATGTTTCATGTTTCTCCTCTGTGGTCTCATTTGTTTTACTCACTGCGAATCCCTCCATTCAATATGCTGTAAAAACATTTAAATGTATCTCCCAGGACACTCACACAAGCCCTCTATAGATTCTGAATACATTAGCGTACACACACACACACACACACACACACACACACACACACACACACACACAAACATGTGTGCAGGGTTCCTGTCATGATCCTGTTTCATGACATAACGCTCTATATGCAAAGATCGATGGGCTGATGTTTGTGATCTATCAGCTTCCTGTTTGAAGTGTGTGCTCCTCATGTTTGTCCTAAAGGAACTGACCTTATAATTGCACTGACCTGTAGCCCTGCATGCTGTCAGAGCAGCTGAGAGATTCATCTGTAAGGAGAAACGGATACAACCGTGTGAGCGCGTGTGTGAACATGTCTGTAACACTTTTACGCCTGCACTGGTTAGAGCTAATTTAAGTTCCTGATGAATTGATATCGGTTGAATGACAGATAATGATGACGTACTTGATTTTTTATTTTTTTATTTTTTTTATTTGAAGTGCTGATCACTTTAAACCACAGACATTCAGCAAATTCGCTCCATCATTATCAAACATTTAACGACAGTCTTTTTCAGTTCATTAAATCAATGCTGTAAAGCCACCGTTCAGTAAAACCACAGCAGAAAAAACTGTAAAACACATGCAACACAGCACATGACATCAACTAATAAAAAGAAAATGTGGGCTACTGGCCTGGGGCCCCAACCAGTTGTTGCCTGTCTTACTTATTGTCAAGCAGCACCTCTGTCTCTGTGTTTCTTTAGTGTTTCCTGTTTTATTTTGTAGTTCTTGTCCCCAGTGTTTCTTGTCTTGTCTTACTTCCTCCCTTTGTCTGGTTTCCCTCCATTTTTGATTGCCCCGATTGTCTTCACCTGTGTCTGATTACTCCGTGTCTATTAAGTCTCACAGTGTTCATTCCCTCTTGTTGTCAGTTTGTTATGTCAAACCTTCTCTGTGTGAAGTTTTCTGTGCTCTAGTGTATTTTGGTTTCTTCCTGAGTTTGGACTTTTACGTTGGACCTTGTTACTTTTTAGACTTAAACAAGGTAAGTTTTTGTTTTCTTTTTTTTTTAATAAATATTTTCTGTTTGGTTCTGCACTTGGGTCCTGTTTGTCGTCACATAAACCTTGTGATCATTTAGTGGACAATGTTAGACGATGTGTAATTTAGTAGCTAGATGTGTCTCATCTTTCCCAGAAAAGATTCAACGATGAACTCTTTTGTTTTGGCCATTCTGTCTGTAAATTAAAATAATTGACTTATCAGTCCTTCCTTTTGAGTGATGTAGTTCTGGTGCAAAGCCAGAGTAATCTCTGGACTTTTACATTATGTTCACACAGACGACCTGAAACTCAGCTTTGCTTCACCTTTACATGACAGGAAACACAATCAACACTCATGTAATTAAAAATGAACTGGCAACAGGAACATCATCTGCAGCAGCCGGCACAGAGACTCACTCACACACATGTTCATCTGTCCTGTATCTGTAACAGCAACCACCATGAAACAACAGAAAGCCTCTGTGCCTTTGTTGTGTGCAGACAAAGACAACATTGACTGATTCAAGGTTGATGGTGCAGCTGGGCAACAACGGGCATCTCTGGCAGAACTCAACTCCAAACAATAATCTGTTTTTTACCTTTTATCTGTTTGTTAGATTTGTTTTAGGGCTTTTGCCTTTATTAAGCTAGGACAGTGGATCAAGTAGGAAATCAGGGAGAGAGAATGGGCAATGACATGTTGGAATGGAGCCACAGGTCGGACTTTAACCCTACAATGGGTGCTTCCGAACCTCTACGCCAGTGGTTCTCAAACTATGGTATGCGGGCTCCCTGTGGTGGTACGCAAAGAAATCTCCACAATACCAAAAAAAAACCTGTTCAGCATAAAACAACATTTTTTATTTTTGTCATACTCTTATTTTATCTGTCTTGCATCTATTGAGTTGTATTTTTATCAAATATGTTTTCCACTCTAAATTAATCTAGTTTTTGCAACAAACAACTTTAATCTGCTCAATTTATGCTCACACACAGACATAAACAACAACTGGAGTATGCCTCGCGTTTTGAAAAGTTCCGCTCGATATTCTGTTATATTTCAGTCCTGAAACAACAGCAAGCAGCTGTAGACCTACATTAACAGATATTCTGTTATTTATTGGAGTTCAGCACAATCGGCAGCTGTTCATTTACATTTTTAAAACGGAGCCAGGAGAAGCTTCAGTTTTGATGCATATACAGACAGTCAGTCTCTCTCTCTCTCTCTCTCTCTCTCTCTCTCTCTCTCTCTCTCTCTCTCTCTCTCTCGCTCTCTCTCTCTGAAGCTGATGTGATTCTGCTCTCTTTTGCTGTCTTAACACTCCTCAGGAGTCGAGAGGGATTTTTGTTTGGGCAGTTTTGCTATGTTGAACGCAGAGACTTATAATACAGAGGCTCTGGTTGCACAGAGCCTGTGGAGCGCGCGCGCCTGCTCTCTCTCACGCGCTCTCTCTCGCGCACGCAGCAATTTTATGAATAAATGAAAAATTAAATGAGAACAGGTCGGAAATATACTTGGGCCCAGGTATCGTCTTTGTGTGGGAAACACTGGAGATTAAATATTCTCAAACATGTTGTTGGTGTAAAGTTGTCATTTTTATTGGGCTGTACTTTTTTTTTGATTTGGGTAAATGTCAGAGTTGTGTGGAGTTAAAGTGCCAGTTCTAGCGCTAGCCCTTAGTAGTCCTATAGTGTGGCTGCCAACAGTCAATAATAAATAACCTCCTGCGTAAAATGTGTGTAGAAATAGGCCTACAGTGTATTTTAACATCTACCATAATGGTGGTACTTGGAGAGCCAAATATTTCCAGAGGTAGTACACAGTCTAAAAAGTTTGAGAACTACTGGTCTGTTGGGTCTTTGGTTGGTAGTTTACTACAATACACCTAATGCTTTTGGTACTCTTTGGAAATAATAGCAAGAAGGCTGATGGCTGATGAAATATAAATAACACCGAAAAGCTTTTTTCATTTAGCAAAAACTTCAAAGTCTACAATACATTACGATAAAACGTAAAGGAGCAATATGTAACTCTGACACGTAATGTTTCAAATGGGTACTGCAGTCCAAATTCAAAAGAAGAGCTGTGTCCCCCCGCCTTAAAACCACAATCCAGAGGATTCAGGACCGGAATCTAAACTGCTGTTTTGTTGTCAGAGAAGCCAGCACGTCAACACAGAATGTTTCCTTAATGTCTGATGATTTAGTAAGGTCACTTTATGATTTAATTCAGTAGAAATCTTACATAGATGTCCTTTTAATTAAAATGCTGTGAGACTGATTTACTTTCCATCTTTTAGGTGTGATAGAGAGATGAAGAGACCAACCACAACACCTGAGGTGTCGTGTTGATGAACATGACGATCTTTGTACCTGCTGGAGGTATTGTGACACAGCACATCCTGTGTTTGTCTGTGAACCAGAATTTTTTTTTTTTTTTTTTTAAAAGGACCACAAACAGCCAAACACGGCACCAGCAGCTGATGTGTACATGTGTTTTAGGATTAAGATTTTCCCATTAATACTTGTCAGCGGAGGCACACAAAGCCAAAGTATGAATATTCATTGACGCAGTGAAGTCTTCAAATGAAATATTCAACATGTTCGGGATATTCAAAGTGTCTCCTAATGAAGGAGGCAACATTGCTTTGGTAAATCAGAGACCTGCAGGCACTTAAATAATCTAGTTCAAGATGAAATTAATTCATTGGGATTATGTAGAATTTATGGATAGACAACAGCTCCTCTGCACCCTCAACATCCCAACAAACACACACAATATCAGCATCTTCAACTTGCCATTTCTATTAAATGTTGTACAAAAACACACTGTGGTTTCTCATTTAGACACCATGACCTCTATTTCCTGCAGGTGCCAAGCTGGTGAAAACAGAAAGTGACATTTTCTTTGGAGACATCTTATCATTTTAACGCTGACTATTAAAGGTGACATAGCAGTGTGCTTATAAACTATGGACGTATCCAGAGCTATTGTGCTCAACACAATGTAAAACTGTGTACGCTAAACATACCAGGAATGTAAAACAAATCCGAGCATCTGCTTACTCATCCATTTTGTGGAAACTCAAAGTTTATACGAAGCTGTTTTGATGACACAGAAAATCCTTAAAGAAGGAGACTCAAACAAGAAAAAACTCTCAGAGAGGGAGGACGGGTCATCAAATATCTATCAACACACCTGGTGTGACAGCAGAGAAGACAGGTATGTACATTTCTTATTTTACTCAGAAACATTTGCAGAAGCAGAACAGTTTGGGGGAAACAAAATATCCAACCTGTGGCTCCATTCCAACATGTCATGTTGCCCACTCTCTCTCTCCCTGATTTCCTACTTGATCCACTGTCCTATCTTAATAAAGGCAAAAGCCCCAAAACAAATCTAACAAACAGGTAAGAAAAGAACCACAAAAAAAAGGTAAAAAAAAACCAAGTCTGATTAATTGGAGTTGAGTTTTCTTGACAGAGATGCCCATTGTGCCTAGCTGCATCATCAACCTTGAATCAGTCGATGTTGCCATTGTCTGTCCACAACAAAGGCACAGAGGCTTCATGTTGTTTCATGGTGTTTGCTGTTACAGCTGCAGGTCAGATGAAAATTAAAAAGAGTGACTCCCTGTGCCGGCTGGTGCAGTTGATGTTCCTGTTCCATGTTGGAACAAAGTTTCCCAGCAGAACCAACAATTTCAAGGCAGAAACCTTTTAAGAAGTCCGCCCAGAAACGCCAAGAACTGTTGTTTGTTGTAATTGCACAAACAACGTTAAGAACCTCTTTCTGTCAACAGCTCATGAGGATCTCCACATCCACTCAGCACCACCCTGGGCAGGTCCAGAGAAAGAGAGGCCGCACCCTCAAGGAGTTTGGTCCCAGAACCAGTGCTGTGCCTGGATGTAAGCCCAATGGTAGTTAGGGTTCATGGACCAAACAAAGAACAAGGCCTTCTTGAAGTCTCTGGGCAGAGAGTGACATATGTTACAGGTGTTGGTGCTAGCGGATTCCTCACACTACAGGGGCGGGTGGAAATCATCACAAATCTAGTGGGAGCAGGAGTGAGCAGGGTTAGGAAAACAGTCACATGCAGGGCTACATTGAGGTCCTGCATGGTGTCTGTAAAATAGCCGACCGGGTTGATAGTGATTTGCATATTTATTAAGAGGGCCCGGAAGATGTGCTCTAACTTCCTGAGTATCTGTCTTCTAATCCTCCTGGAAAATGTCATTCCAGGCTGCTAGAAAGAAAGTTCCCAAAGATCCCACAGATCGATGAACCTCACGAGAAGCGTTCTAAATTACTTCCTGGTTGTGGAACAGTGGACTTCTTTAAGCTTGCTTTTGTGGATCATCCATCCAGCCTACATGTGTTTTTTGGGCCTGAACAAGTTGTACATTTTGGTCTCCCATGGGGTTCCATTGGGGAATACTGTGGGACATTCCTACAAGCCATCCCATTCTTACATAAGCTAAATGAGAGATGTGTCCACATCCTTGGTAAGTCAAACAGTCAGTGTTGACCTCTATCAGGTCTGTCCCTTGTCACAATTCCAATTATGATTTTAATTGATAGGCTCTTCAGACTGTCTAGTTTGAGGAGTGTGAAGTGGTTCGAATGAAAGTCCCTTTGTCAAAGATGATTCCACTCTAATATTTAGCTGGTATAGCAGGTTGAGTGAAATGCTAATGCCAAGAATATTATCAGCCAGTGGAGGAAAAAGAGCATCAACCTATGGGTTTGATTCCATACAATGATTCTGACTGTTTACTGAGGGCTTGTTTCTTCACTACTGTCCAACCTTTGCCAAAAATAATGAGGGCACAGCAGGACAGGCAGGTAGCTCAGCACGGCTGTGGATCAGTGAGAGAGTCAGTCATCTCTTAACCAGAAGCTTGGGGGTTTGAACCCCAAGTTGCTCCTGCAGAGAATGTATCTGAAGTTTGTCACTATTGTTCTATAGACTCAGTAGACCCATTTTTATTAGGCTGCATGAATGAGTGGATGTAAAATACGGCAGCATAGAAACTGTGTCTGACATATTTTGAAATGTCCCGTGTGGGGAATGCAATTGGCGATAGGCATGTGTTCCCCAGCACCACAACATGTTAACCCTGACAGCCCTATCGACTCAACCGAACGCTTTTAACTCTCTGTGATTGTCTAATGGATTCAACAAAATACAGTTTCTTTATAAATTGGATGTGTTCAGCAATTTTAAGCAGCAAAAGACCAGACTGTATTTTTAAATCCTTTTGAATAAAACACAACCAAAGTAACTGCAAACGTAATGGAAGGATGGGGAAATGTTTCAGTACGTTGATGTCATGAAATCACACAGTGAAACTTGTTGTTTCCCATTGGTTTAGAAGTCTTGGCAACATCATGCTCCAATCAATACTCACTCTTATTTCTACTTAACCCTCATCTGTCTGCTCATACTGTTTGTACATTATAAAGTTACATCATAAGTGGTCTTACCAGCACAAAAGTTTGAATAGAGGAATCCTGTAAATAACTAAATTAGCTTTTGCATCGTCCTGTCTGCCATGTCAACCATTTCTCCCTTTCAGATCAAATTTCTTTCTCTATCTTGTACCTGTCGCAACTCTTCTGCCTTCATCTTCAAAATCTGCCCAAATCTGATTCTCCCTCCTAATGCCTCCTCTAAACCCGTCTCACTGTTTGTCTACGTGAGTGCGTCTATTTTCTCATCTTTGGTCTTCAGCCAATCGTTTCTCCTCCACTCTTCCACCTCTCCCTCCCCCACTTCCTCCCTTTCTTTCCTCCTTTCTTTCTTTTCTTGTCGGCCTCCTCCCCACTGCCCTACATTCACTCTCCTCTTTTCATTCTCTGTATTTCCGCTCACTCTCTCGCTGATATCCACGCATGCAAAAAAAAAAAAAGGAGAAAAAAAATCAGAGGAAAAGTGGAGGAAGCGTGGAGTTTTAACTGCCGAATGACAAGACATAAAGGAGGGGATTTTAGGAGAGGAGATTAGCGGAAAGCAAAACAAAAAGCCTCTTGTCAATCTGGCTTATAATTCCATTAAAAATGTACATGTGGTAGTTCACTTTGAGAAAAGCGATTATAATTGGCCTCAGCAGCAATCTGTTGGAGAGAGAAAATTCCGGTTGTGCAGAAATTAGCAGACTTTTTACATGAATATTTTCTTTAGATATTTGCATGTGTACCAATTTTGTTCTGCGTGGGTTTAACCTGTGTGTGTGTGTGTGTGTGTGAGTGCATGCATGCATGTGTGTAACAAAATGTGTGTGTGTGTGTATCCACAAGCCGCAGTCATCAGCAGAGAATGCTCGTCTGCTTGTTTTGGCACCTTCCTGCTAGGTTAGAATTTGAACAAAAGAAGTGGCAAAGCTGGAGTTGGACCCCACTGACTTTTGAATCTTCTTGATGCAAACAGATGCTCAGAAAATCACCAACACATGGAAACATGCACATGCAAACACATGCGTGCACACACACATACACACATACACACACACAGAATCACTCGTAAAAGAAATCTCAAACAAGCAAGGGGATGGTGGGGAAGTCTATGGAGCCAGGACAGTGACAGCTAAATGTTGGCATCGAAAATAACATTTTCCATTGAAAACACACCTGAACTAAAATAAAGAAAAATGGGCATTGAAACACTTGTATTGTACGGTGGCCGGTAGGGGTCACACGCTCAGCAACTGATGAAATTACATACATTTAGAAAAACGCGCAGCATATATAGAAACGCTGCACATTCAAAAGCAAATGCAAATTACCACAACAAATGCAAAGGCTGAAACGCACTGCAAATAAGCAAAACAACTGCATAAACATCAAACGCACTACAAATAGGCAAAACAACTGCTTAAGCATCAAACGCGCTGCAAATAGGCAAAACAACTGCATAAGCATCAAACGCAATGCAAATAGGCAAAACAACTGCTTAAGCATCAAACGCGCTGCAAGTACAGAAATGAAACTTAAGTCAAAACACACACAACCAGAAAACAATAGCAAACACAGAAACGCTGCAAGTTAATCCTTAAATGGAAGTGCTCCGGGCCTGTAGGGGGCGGCGCTGTGGAACTGTTTATTTACGGGATAGAGTAAGAGAGACAGCTAGGGACAGAAAGTTATGTTTAGATATTGAAGTTGTATCGTTGAAAGACACAAGATAACTTCAATGTTACTGAAACGCGGAGATAAAGCGAGTCCAACCGGGATTTTGACATCGGGGACGAGAGCAGAGTGTGGGTCTGTGGCTGCAGCCCCGGGATGCCTGGAGCTAGTGCTAGCTCCAGCTGCAACTCATCCCTCTGCACCCGCTTTACCAGCATGACACTTCGTGCTTTCGCCATCCCCGGAGTCCGGGTTGAACTCGCTACTCATCTCTTTGCTACAGTTTAACATTACTCCCTGTCATCAAACACTGACACTTCATCCACGGAGAGCCCTCTGCCCCGGGCCTGACAAGTTTGAAATCCTGGCAGACGGAAGTCCCGTACTTAAGCCGGGCAACGGTGCCAATAGCCGGGCAGCCAACTTAGCAAAGCTACCGCTCAACAAGACCTCATTTCTCAAAGTTGTGTTTTTCTTCCCCCCTACATGTTATAAAGTCGTGTTTGTGCACAATAGAAAATGGGACAGAGCCCCGGTGAAACGCTGCTCCGGTGGTTTTTAAGAAAAAAAAAGTCATGGAGAAAACATCAGAAGAGATTCACTGAAAAACACACAAGAATGAAAAAGCTATCAAAATCAAATAAAATATTTTTTAATGCATTTTCTTTGCTCTTCATTGAAACTTTTTTCAGCGCCAATATCTGTTTCAGTGCCAACACACATGTTTACAGTACAAGTGTTTCAACGACCCCTTTTTCTTTATTTTTAGTTTTTGATGCCAACATTTAGCTGTCACTGTCCTGGCTCCACAGAACGCAGGCTTATAGAAGTAGAAGTAGGAAGATGTGTGAGAGATGAACGATTTGGAAGATGTTGGAGAGGGGATGTGTATTTGTGTGGGGTGTGTTTGTGTGTGCGTGCGCGCGTGTGGCAGGACGTAGATGGTGACGGGGCAATAATAAGATGATGAGTTGAAGTGACCACAGCAGATGTTGACTGTCCCCCCCGTCTGCGACGTAAATACATTCCACTTATAGTGACACGCACACACAAACACACTCAACTACACACACATAAAAACAGTTTAAAAAAAGGAAATAGACAAAATGGCCCATAATTGAAAAATTGACACCAATCACTTCAGTATTTTCCCCCTCCTCTTTTTATTTTCGTCCGTCCTCCCTCGTCCCTCCTCTGTGGCTTTTTACCCTCTGGGGATGATGGGAGATGCAGCTGGATGTACAGCCCCCCCCCCCACCTCCCCAACCCCACCTCCCCACCACCACCAACAAACACACATATGCACACACATCCCGCTCTCTCCTGCTTCACTCTCCCTCTCTCAGTCTATCTGCCACTGACGAGAGGTAAACAGGGGAGGAGATCTCATTTGGTTCCTGAACTGTTGCAACGCTCAGCGCTGCCACACACACACCCTCTCTTTCTCCTCTCTCTCGCTCTTTCACTTTCCATCTCTCTCTCTCAGACACACACACACACACACACACACACACACACACACACACACATGCTCACACGCAACACAGTGAGGTCTAAGCAGCAGAAGATCCTAACAGTAGAGGAACGAACTGGACTCACACCTTTCATGGCAGAATAATCAGGTCTTTTAAGAAGAAGAAGAAGAAGAAGAAGTGGTGATCCAGGAGGAGGAAAGAGGATAAGAGGAGCGTGTCGTTTTGTGTTTGTAAAATCCCCTGGGTTGAGCCCCCCCTCCCTCCCCCCCACCAAGCTGAAGATGGAGAACACATGAGGATGAGCGAGAGATCTGAGGGGGAAAGATGCCGCTGAGTAAAGTTTGTGGATATTTCTAGAGGGAATTTTGAAGCCCTTTGAACTTTGGGGGAAGGATCGCACAGAGGAGGGTCGACAGTGCAGACTGCAAAAAGAAAAAGGTGAGATTGAGTTTCTGTCAAGAAACTCTGTGAAAGGTTTGTTGGTGGAGTGTGCTTCATGGTGGTATTTCAAGAGAAAAATGTGAGAAGTAAAATCTGTTTTGATGTGTCTGCTCGTTTTTCCCATGTTTCTTTTTTCTTTTTTTTGTTGTTGTTGCTCTCAAGTGTTTAGCTTGACATCTTCTCTCCTGCAACCGTTTATTCAGTCAATTGCCGATTCTGAACATTTCATGAAACCCTGCTGTGCTCCTTTAAAACCTAAAAGTTGCGATCATCCTGTCAAACTGCGTAGTTACAAGCTCTATTAGCGATTCTGACTGACCTGTTTAAAACGTCCTGTAACCCTCTCTTCATCATTGATTCCATAAGCAATGCTGGGTCAATGATGCATCATGTGTTTAATCATACAGGCTTCAATCGATTCTCACAGATGTGTTTTTGACAGACAGCGCATGTTTAGATGTAGTGTGAGTGCAGTTTTCCAATACTCAGCTCCAGACGTCTGTTGACTTACCGTACTTCGACTGTGCATTAATAAGATTTAAATAAAGATAAATAAATGTGAGGCGTAGTTTTCTGTCCTCTGTGTAACACCTTTACTTCAAAATGTCTCTGTTTCCTGCAGGTGGGACTTTGGCCGTAAGCGCTTTCCCAGGAGCATGGCATCCACCATATTTTCTTTCCTCCACCTTTTCTCCCTCCTCCTCTACTTCCTTTCACCTCAACCTGTCCTCACCCAGGACTCATCTGTCAGCACCGTGACAGTAACAGAAGGTGACCTGTTCACCGCCCCCACGACGCCTGTAAACCAGACGTCTCCAAATAACATTGAGCCCACTCAGAACACTCCTCCAGAGACGGGGCTGTCCACTCCTACCAGCGGCGGAGATGCAGACGACGAGGACGGGCCTCCCGTCGGGGGTACGCGTTGCATGGGCTACTACGACGTGATGGGCCAATGGGACCCGCCGTTCAACTGCAACGCCGGCGTCTTCCTGTACTGCTGCGGCACATGCTTCTACCGCTTCTGCTGCCAGTTCCGCCAGCAGCGACTGGACCAGAGGATCTGCTCCAACTACGACACGCCCATCTGGGCCAACACTGGCAAGCCAGTGGCGACCATCACCGAGGGCCAGGAGGACGGCGAGCGGGACCGCACACACCTCATCGTCTACATCATCTGCGGCGTGGTGGCTATCATGGTGCTGGTGGGCATCTTCACCAAACTGGGCCTGGAGAAGAGCCGCGGCGGGAGCGGAGGAGGAGGCACAGCGGGGGCATCGCATGCTGACCTCAACTCCAGGTGAGCAGTGTGATACCTTAATGTTAGTTTGTGTGAGTCAGTGTGTTTAGGTGTGTGTTGAGGAGGTCTACATGTCAACTATGTGGCAGTCAGAGGATAGACATTAATGAGATACTGAGGGATACTGTGTGTGTGTTTGTGTCTGTGTGTGGGTGTACATGTGTGTGTTGGTGCCTGTGTGTATTTGTGCATGAGTTTATGTGTGTGTATTTGCATGCATGTCTTTTCTGATGCATTGAAGAGTTGTTAGTTAAAATTGGAAATTCTAAATTCTTCCATAAGAAAATCTGAATTTTGACTAGATGGTCTCACAGAGTGCCCAACTTCTAACTCTGAAAGTGTATTTGTACATGTAGTCCTACTAACCTGTGTGCATGTGTGCATGTTGCCTGCACCTGCATGGATGAATCCATGAGTCTCTCCTCATTGCACAAACCTACATGTGACCAGCTGATCCATACCTCATGAAGCTCACCCCAAAGCTAAACTGATCTTGAAGTGTAACTGAATTTCAAACAGGAGAGAGATGGAAGAGAAATGTCTGTTTAGCTGAGTGTAAAAGTTGGCAGAATGATATTCATCTAAACATGGTGTGTAAAGCATTGTGCTTCAGGATCCATGTAACTCAGTCAGTCATTAGCTCATATCTTCATACAACCCTTCATATATTGTATTACAGCCTATTTTTTTTTCAATTTGTTTCTAATTTTGCTTTTTATTTCTTTCCATTTCTTTGTGCTTGTTTCTTTTTTTTTCTTCCGTCTTCCACAATTTTTCTTTTTCACACATTTTGTATGTAATCCCTTGTGTACCATTTGCTTTGCTTGTAAGCATGACTTATATTTGAAATAAACACAAAAAATGAAAAAAAAAAAAAAGGCAAAATTGACATAACAGTGTTTGCTGCAGTACATCGAAACTCTTTGTGCGTCTGTGCAGGAATTCCTTCGCATTGCTTCAATCGTGTAAGGTTTTAATAAGGTTTTTTTTTTTTCCTGAGGAAATGATCATTTCCCCTCTAGCCTTGTGCAGGGAAGACATTTAGCATGCACAGCTGGATTCTTTAGTTGCACACACACATGTTTGTTCAATACGTGGTCCAGGGTTCAATCTGTCCACCTAAGGAAATCATTACAGCAAACGACGCACAGCATGAGCTTTAATCTCCCCGCTTTCATCCCAAACTATCTAACCCACCCTTCTTCGCTATATTCTCCATCAGGAGATTATTTTTCTTATCTCTCCAAGCTTCTTGTTTTTGATCTCTTTTTCTTCCTCGAAATCTGCAATGCTAAATTTCTTTGTCACATAACTCAAAGTACCCCTTCATCTACATCTCTAAGATGTCCCTCATCTTCCTGCAATCAAGCCATACTTTCTCCTTTTCTTCTCAGTCCTTCCATCTCTTTTTTTCTCTCAAAGAGATGAAACAGGGGCCAGTTCCAATCGTAAATCTTTTTTTGTCTTTCCTCCTCCCTCTTCTCTTCAGCATTACACATTACCTGTATCTCCTCCCTTACTTCTTTCAAGGGATTTCTGTTTGCATTTTAATAGAATAAGTGGACACGCACACACTGCTCCAGCAGCACTTTACTCTCCCATTAACCTGAGCTGCAAAACTCGTTTCTGCTGGCTAACACACAGTCAGGATTAATATTTCCTGCAGGCTCGCACCTCTCTGAAATAGAAAAACTCTCTGCATACCCTCCCTCCCTCAGACCATCTCAACAGATTACAGCTCCTCCTTGTGATTAAACAAATTTCACCAAGATTACAGCTCTACCGTTTCTGGACTGCCCTTCCCATTCGCTCATTTCGCTCTTAGCCTGCTGACATAAATCCCTGGTCCACAAGTGTACGTGTAACTAAGACCTTATGTACTCCGCACACTTCTGGAGGAGTGAAACATGCACGCACCAACCCACTTTGGAGTTCACTACTAATGTGTTGAAGCACAAACGTAAACGTCTACATATTGCATTGCCTTGTTTTTATTTCTCTTTCCTTTACCTCGTACTCGTTGCACATCCCGGCGAGAAGCGGATGATTACCCTCTGAAATCCACCAGTTCTCCAGAATCCGCTTTGAAAGTTAAATCCAAAATGATCCTCCTCTCAGATTATACTCCCCTCCCTCAAACACACACACATATATACACACACACACACCTTCTAATTCATGAACCAAACCAGGTCCAGTGTGCGTTAGCATGCTGCGCTAATCCCCATCTAACAAAGGCAATGGAGAGCACCGCCTTAGGTCAAACGTGTCAAGTCTAATGAAAGGTTCAGCTGGAGGGAAGCTGGCTTTAAACTCAAAGAGTAAACAAACACCAATGACCTTCATGATTTTTACGCACACACACACACACACTCACATATACATGCACCACAGTGATTTATAGTTCAATTAACAACAAGAATGATAGTGGTGGCATTTAGGTTGCGTGAGCACGGAGCAGCTCCCCACAGTGAGAGGTCAGGACAGCCGGGGGGACGAGATGAGCCACTATACAAAGTCCACCAAACACAAGTGTGAGAGGCCAAGGACCAACATGGTGGTGGCAGGGGTCACATGGTTCAAACCGTGTGTGTGTGTGTGTGTGTGTGTGTGTGTGTGTGTGTGTGTGTGTGTGTGTGTGTGTGTGTGTGTGTGTGTGTGTGTGTGTGTGTGTGTGTGTGTGTGTGTGTGTGTGTGTGTGTGTGTGTGTGTGTGTGTGCATTCATGCGAGAGTTAATGTGCATGCACGTCAGTGACCCTGCACTCCAGATGCGGTCAGCATAAAAACCTTATGTATCTCCAATTATGAGTAAATTTTGACAAAATAGTCGATCAACTTCTTAATTTCATCTTAATGAAATCAGTTCCAATAGTTTTGGTATAAAATTATTTGTATTAACTTTGAAAGTGACACTGCTTTCATGGAGATACAAGGTTTTCATCTGGCATTTAACGCAACACACATGCATAAAGATCTATATGTTTGACTGCTTTGCATGTATCTCCAGTGTGTGTTTGTGTGCTCATGTGTTTGTGTCTGTGTGTAGCGCACATCATGTTATGTAATGAAGGACACTTTTTCACTGCTGTGTCCTGATTCAAGGCAGACAGATAAGCAATACTCAATACAGTGTGGGTAAACATATGGACTGTATACGCACGCAAAGGTTGGGATCACTTTCAGTAGCGCCCTCGGACATTATGTGACACATCATGATATGGCGACATGTTTATACTTCAAGGGCATTTGGGCCTGGTTTTGTGCTTTGTTGGTCAAACTGAGCCTAAAAAATCCTGGTTTCCACTGTGTCAGAAAAACGTACTTCACTGTCACTTTGAAGTAAAAACTTTATTTATATCTGATTTAGGCGTTTGCTTCATACACATTGATGTATGCCTCATACGAGAATAAATAAGAAACTATTTGGTGTATGACATTCCGTTGCCTGGTGACATCCTTTACCTGTTATTGTTTTACTTAATATTTTACATCTAATATTACACAATGTAGTTTATGAAAATCTTAAATGTTGGCACCTGACGCCTTTTTTTTTCTTCCAAATAACACAAGTTGATATTTCAAATATTTATTTTGGGGCTTTTTCTGCATTTATTAGAGAGATAGGACAGTGGATAGAGTCAGAAATCAGAGAGAGAGAGAGTGGGGAACGACATGAGGGAAAAGAGATCCACAGATCAGATTTGAACCCGGGTAACCTGCTTTGAGGACTATAACCTCTATACATGGGGAGCGCAAACTAACCACTAGGCCACTAGCGCCCCGCAAGTTCACCTTAGTGCTTATTCAGCAAAGTTTCTACTGGTTGATGAATTACTTTTTGTCCTTCGTATTCTTCTTCATGTACTTCTTGATTCACAAATATTTTATAAACTATTGAAGGACTGTTTTGTAACCTCATACTTATGTAACCCCCCCATGCTCTCTGGTGTACTGTAGCCTATACAAGTTGGAAAAAACACAAAAAAGGCGAGAATACGCACATCTCCGCTGCCGTCTTGTATCTCTGATGAGCCCCATCTCTTTGTTGCAGCTAGTTTCTTTGTGACTTCCTCTAGCTTTAGAAGAATTGGGGAAAATACTCTCCAGGCAGGAAGCAAATCAAACCAGAGTGAGCCCTAAATATCCGCCATGTGAGAAAATACGCATTTGTACTGAGAAGCTAAGAAGGACAGAAGTTTTTTGCGAGTTTCCTTAAAGTTTCCTCCTCCTCCTCTGCTCCAGTTTCTCAGCTCTGCTCCATCTTTCCTGCCTTTTCATTAGCTCCAGGGTGGAGCTGTCACTCCCTATCACCTCTCACCTGTCACTGATGTGTGTGTGTGTGTGTGTGTGTTCATGTCTGCATGCATGTTTATTTGTGAGTAAAAGTGTGCACATGCATATATACAAGCACCATGCTATTGCCACAATTCTTGCAGAAGTAGTGGAGAGACATATGAGTTGACAGCTTCGTGTCTGTATCAGATGTGACAATTTTCACCTCCCAGCGGCTCTACCTTCCTCTCTCCTCCTCTCACTTGCTCCTCCAAAGTTCTGTGGGCTCCACTTGGCCTCAACACATAGTTAAATGTGGGTCAGCGACTACTGACTTCAGGGTTTGTCTGTGAGATGTTTCTGTTTTTGTTTCTGTTGGTCTGTTTATCTGGGTGAAGCAAAAATAGTTAACATCAGAAAACTTGAAAGATTTTCAGCTTCTTATCTGTTCTACCTTGAGGGTGGCATTTCCATTTTTAATGACGCATAAAAAAATGTATTCCCACAAGACAACTTATGTCTCTCATACTTAAAACAGTCAAAATTAAAGTTCCTAGCACCAGCAGACTCACAGTGTGTCGTCCCCTGTAGGTTCACTTGATCCTTTTCCCAAAAAAATCTAATGGGCCATCTGTCTACACCTTCCAAAAGGCAGGAAAAAAAACAACTCCAGTAAGAAGAACCCAGAGAACTGTAAGCTGCTTGAAAACTTTTAATTTAGCACAAT